GAGGCAGCAGTGCCGGGAGCACTCAGCCCCAGCTTCCCGCTGGAGGTGGCAGGACTCCGATGGACACCTACGGGCTGCCTGGGCCAGCCCTGCCCCTGCCCTGGGCCCCTCCCTCCTCCACCTGGTCCCCAGCGGCCCCTGACCTGGGTGCGGAGAGAACAGTTTGGGCTCCCACACCGGCCGCGGGACGATAGCCCTAGGGCTGGCGGCGTCTTTCGTTCCTCCGCGCGGCAGGTCGAGCCCCACCGCAGCCAACGGCCTACCGCGCCTGGTCGTAGCTGGGGCCCGGAGCCGAGGGACGCCGCCCAGGCCGCACAGCCCGGGAACCCGAGCGTCACGCGCACCCGCGCGCACCGCCCGCCTCTGGCCAGGACGCTTATACATCCGGAGGGTGGGCAGTGCCCGCTCCTCCGACCTCCCCGCGTACCGGCCGGGCGCAGGGAGGGCCGGGGGCGGGGCCTGGCCGGCCAAGGGAGCTGAGGACACGTCGGAGAAGTTCATGCCGCCCGGTGGGGTGCTGCCCCTTGCCACTCCTCAACCAGTCTCTGGGAAAGGCCTTGCGGACCAGGTGCCCGACCAGGCATCCGGAGGGTGGGCAGTGCCCGCTCCTCCGACCTCCCCGCGTACCGGCCGGGCGCAGGGAGGGCCGGGGGCGGGGCCTGGCCGGCCAAGGGAGCTGAGGACACGTCGGAGAAGTTCATGCCGCCCGGTGGGGTGCTGCCCCTTGCCACTCCTCAACCAGTCTCTGGGAAAGGCCTTGCGGACCAGGTGCCCGACCAGGCTGGCACAGCGAGGCCAGGCCAACGCCTCAGCTTCTGGCCTGCAGGCCCAGGCATCCAGGATGCTAAGGCCTGGCTTGACTATTCATTCCCCCACCTACTGTCTCTGGAAGCCTCCTCTGACCAGCTCAGGGCATCCATGGCTCCCTGTCCCGGGTCTGTCCACTGAGGGGCAAGCTGAAACCTCCTTGCCTCCTTGGCCCTGTGCTGAGGCTTCGCCTTCCAAGGCCTCTGCCTGCAACCTCGTCCTCCCTCGGCTTCTGCCCGCCCTTGCTTGGGATGGGGCGGAAGACAGACAGCCTCTCCCAGGGTTTTACAATCTCGGCCTTGGACATGGGGCTGGAGAGGGTGCTGGCAGGGTGCCTGGGAGGGCCCGTGAACCGGGGACCAGAGGAGTGAGCTGTCCTGGGAAGGCACTGACTCCGGGCTCAACTTCCAGGAAACTGAGTGAGGCTGGGGTTCAGGGGTGAGCAGGGGCGTAGTGCATGTGTCCGGACTGTGTCGCGTGGAACTGTGTATGCTTCAAGTCCCTGTCCTGCCACCACTCTGTGGTGTAGCCCCGTGGACTGTGTCCAGAGAGGGGAACTGTCACCTGGGCATTCCCCTAGCACTAAGTGGCCATCCGGGGCCGTGACAATGACAGTGACCCGTGTCACTCAGTCGTTGAGGGGCCCAGGGCCAGGTCCAGCGAGGAGTGAGGTGAGGATGAGCTGGGCTCCAGACCCCTTCCTCTACTTCCTGAGCAGGGCCCGCCTCTTGCCCCCAGGACTCCAGCAGGAGCTGCTTCTGATGGGAGGGGAGCCCAGCTGGGGAGGAGGAGCCCGGGTGGGTGCAGGTCGTGGCAGTATTGCAGGAGACGTGGCCCATGGCTCATGTGGGCGCTCTGCACCACAGAGGCTGTGCGGGGGTGGAGGGGTCTGTGTGGGGCGCGGAGGAGAGGGGTCCTGAGTGTGCTTTTGTACTATCCTGCTCTGCAGGTGCACACTGCCCAGGTGTGCAGGGGTGGGGGGGTCCCTGGGCTGTGTCCTGTGACCCTGAGGGAGTCTGCAAAGCTATGCACCAACCTGAGGGCAGTGGCCAGACGCCCAGACGGGGACCCTGCGGTGAGGCCGGCATTGGGAAGAGAGAAGTGAAAGTGAAAAGCCCTGGGGCTTCTGGAGACTCCAGGTCAGCCCCCTGGGGTGCTGTCCTCAGGTCCCCAAGACCTCCACAGCCAGTAGAGGTGGCGGAGAAAGCAGAGTCCTCCCAGGCCCTCATTAACCCTTGCCTGCTTCAGCCAGGACCTGCAGGCAGCTGGGTGCAAATCGCGGTAACAGGAGAAGCGCAGGCCAAGTGGAGGAAGCCCCGTCCAGGAGAGGGGCACTGGGAAGGGGTGAGGAGCCCACTCCGCCCGCTTCACTTTCTGCAAGAACTCACTGGATCCTGGAGCCTCGACCTGACTGCTCAGTGCCAGGATGTCCCTCTCCTGTGAAGGGTCCTCAAGCAAGAGGCCACCTGAGCCTCCAGCCTGCAGCCGAGCTGCCTCCTCCACCACCCATCCAGGCACGACTCCTGGGACCCGTTCTCTCCGTGGGCATCGCACCTCCCTCAAGCTCCGCGCTTCGTGGCGCCTTGTCGTCCGGCAGCCTCGCCACTCGCCGCTACCCCACCTGCAGTGCCCCTCAGCAGGGCAGCCAGGGGAACGCGCCCGCAGGGTGGCCCCGCGCCCAGCACCGGGGTCCAAGAACGCAGCACACCCGCAGGACCCTCAGCCCAGCAGCGCGCCCGCGGGAAGTGTTCAGCTCTCACCTGGACCGGCAGTGGCTCCCTGCCTCCTCGCTCCCCCTGCCGGCCGCACCTCTTTCACCGCGAGGTAGGAGGCCTGGCTGGGAGCCGATCTTCGGAGGACTCGGAGGACTGGGCCGGCCGAGGGTCGTGAGCTGCACAAGTTCTGACGCTGGAACCTGGCTTGTGCGGTCAGTTCCCCGACGTGGGACGCTGAGCGAGGACAAGTTCGGCATTTTCCGTTTCACAAGCCATAAGATCGAGGCTCTGCTTACCTGTAGGTAGGAGACCTGAAGCTGGGGTGACTACAGGAGTCTGGAGGGTTGGGATCGGGCTGAGGACATGGACAGAGCCTTTGCCTCGCCCCTGGACCCTGCTCGAGCTCTGGGCCACACCCCAGCCCTGCCCCGATCACTCATCCCCCAGCCCAGCATCGGCATCTTCTTATTAGCAGAGAAGCAAGTCCTCATTTTGGAAGTTTTCTCCCCAGCCGGAGGAAGGCGTTCCCTGGAGAATCTTGCCCGCCCAGCTCCGCCTCCCCTGGGCACACGTGGCTCCCCCAGGGAAGCCAACTGACAAGCGCCCTCACGCCCACCCAACCGGACCCCACTCCTTACTTCTGTCCACCGGCAAGGCACAGGGCGGCGCCCACCACTCAGCCGCTCTGCTCCCTGGAAAGAAGCCTGCGCCCCCTCGGGCGACTTCGGAGGCCCAGGGTCCATGGATATTCAGCTGGCCTGGGCCCCGCGGGTGTCCCAGGCTTCTGGGGGCAGTGGGTCCACCAGGGCAGCCCATAGGGCGCTGGCCCCCAGATTGGCAGCTGGGAGTGGCCGGTGCCCTGAGGACCCCCTTTTCCAGGAATCAGCACAGAGGGGTCAGAACCAGGTTGAGACGCCCAGGGCCAGAGGGGAGGACAAAGGGGGACCAGGCATTACGTGACCTCAGTAATTCGATTCAGGGTTGATAGCCGGGGAAGCCTCCAGCGCCTACCTGGGATGCTACGGCTGGGGTTTCACTGGAAGGCAGGCCCCGGATTCTGACACTGTCCGTGGCTCCGCCTGGGCCGGCAACCTCCTGGGAGGCTGGGCCAGAGTGCCAGGTCGCAGCGCGCTGGCCGGGGGCTGGAACTTCGCTGGAGCCGGGAGAGGCAGGCATGTCGCAAATCTGGTTTCTTTTCCCGGCTTCATCCCCATCTTTCGGCTTCTGATCCGCTGCAGGGTACCTGCCCAGCAACCCTGAACCCCTCAAGGGCACCCCGTCGTCCCCTTTGTGTGTCTCATTTAAATTTTCCCTCCTAGTCACCTCGCCTTCCGAAATTCCTGCAGTTTCTCTTTATTTCTGTCTTTCTGCCGCTCCTGATTCAGGGTACCTGCCCAGCAACCCTGAACCCCTCAAGGGCACCCCGTCGTCCCTCCACCCCTCACGAAGGTGGTTGACCCATATCGCCAAAGAGCACGACTTTCTTTGCGGCCCTGGTGAGTCTGTACAGGGCAGAGATCCGATCCCTGGAGCTGGGCGGGGAGGAGTGCTCCCCAGCGCTATGTGGGACCTTTTGGCTGCTGTCTGCCCTCGTCCGCCTCCAGCCACTGAGCGAGGGGGCACGC